TTTAAGATGGAGTAATGTGTGTGAGTGTGATACCAGGAACAAATTACTACTTTGACAGATGAATAATTCAAATGTTTTACTTGAATCTCCTTTAATAATCATGGGATTTGTATGATATTTTATGTGAGACCATGAGAGTAGAAAAGAAATGGTAAATTTATTTTGGTCAATAGAGATAAATATGTATATTTTAAAATTGAATATGAAAGTCAATTTAATTGTGTTGAAAAATGTTGAAGAAATAAAAACTGTGGCCTAATGATTAACAGTTAGCTATTTGTTATTGAATTCAAAAGATTTTAGTTATTTACATCATAATAGTAGTTGTCATCCAATTGTTAATCAGTTATACTTAAGATACAAGAATTATTTTTATAGTCGAATGATTGTCAATAGTGAGTAGATTATTGAGATCATGTTTGTGAAATGATATGTTGTATATGTATTATTTTTTTGATAAATGATATAGTTTTTGTGGCAACCCATTATACCTTAAATTATGAGTTATGAAGTTGAGATTATGTAATACATTATATTCAATGTTTGCTTAAAATGTAAATAAGTTTAATCACATATTCACGTTAAAAGTTTATATGAAAATTACGACAAGTAATACAAGAATGATAGTATGAAAATTAACTCGAAAAGAGCTTATACAAGAAAGTAACTGTGGATACTGTTGGTTCTAATCTCTATTCTCTTTGCAACACTAGAAGAGAATTTTTTATTTTTTATTTTTATTAATAAATTGTTCAAAGAAAGTTTATCAAATTATTTGATTAATGTAACCTATAGGGATAATCTTGCCAGAGTACAATGATACAGGTTATGTGAGCAAGATATTTATCAGTATTAGTGTATTAGTGTAGTAAGTGAATTTTGAGGATGAAATTCTTTTAAGAGAGGAAGAGTTGTGAGACCCGAGAAAACTAATGAAGCATTTTATTTTATGTTAGGGGTTTAGATACAAGTACTTATTTTAGTCATCATATATAAAATTAAAATAGTTAAAAAAAATATATATTTACTTGTTTCAGATTGATAAGCCAAATTTTGGGGACGAAATTCCTAAAGAGGAAAAAATTTTAAATCCCGAACAAGCATAACAAACATGTAATATTTTTAATAAGCATATTCATATGTGACATGCATCTATAGGAGTGACAAATCAGTATTTAATTATGAGTAATGATATGAAACCTAAACTTAAACAATGAAAATTTTAATATTAAGAAATAAGTTATAAATAATGCTTATAGGGGGAATTGTTTTATTCAAGTGTGAAAAGTTAAATAACAATGTTGACAGTTATGAGTTTATTATTTTATGTACATTAGCGCATGTGAAATTAATTGAGTGGCAAGCATGTGACATTAATTTATTGTTATTAAAATAAAATGTGTTAGTATATACAAAGAGTGGTTAAGGGTCCAAAATATGAATTTAATGGGTGATCAATAATTTGGATATATATATATATATACATGTCTATGTATAAATATGTATATAAAGAAAAAGTGGACATATAAATATATGTATGGATATATATGTGTGTGTGTGTGTGTGTCTTGTATGCAAAAAAAAAAACAAGAAGTCTTAGACATTTTCGGCAAGAATAAGAACAAGAAGGAAAGAAGAAGAAGAAAGAAAAAAAAAAGAGAAGAGAAGGAAAAAAAATGTTGGTGCAAAGGTAAGAATTATAATCCATTTTCTTTCTCTAAGATGTAGGAATCCAACTCTAATATATATATTTTGAGTGTTGCATGTATTTAAAGTATGATATCTTTTAAGTATGATGCTTAGTAAGAATTTTGATTAATACATGAAGGATTTACCTCAATATTTATATAGGTTTGTAAATTAAGTTAATGTTGTTGCATGAAAAATAGAAGAGTAGAATGATTGCATGTGGGTTTGTTGGGATACTTGTTATGAATACATAGTACCATAGGTGTTGCTTGAAAAATTAACATAATAGTTTGGTGGGTAGCTTAGAAATCTTGTGAGTTGTTCTTGAATTTTTACGAATCCATAAATATGAGTAATTACAAGTAAACATGTCATTTTATGCTTGCATAGAAAATTATGCAAATTTAAGTATATTTTTGTTATGTTTATAATTGTATGAAAAATGTTAAATTTGGGTATAATTGATTTGAATAAATATTTTCTAAACGGATTCAAGAAGATTAGCTAAATTTGATTCGAGTAGATAATTTTACTAGATGTGAATTGATTACTTAACTTGACTCGAGTTAAGTGTCAAACTATTAGTTTAATCAATTCAAATAGATAATGTTATTTAATATAGATAAATTATTTAATTCGAACGGATATAATCATTAAACTAAGTTCGAGTAAACCATTTTAAACTTAAGCAGTATTACGTAATAAAGTATGAATGAAATTGTGAATATTGGTTATGCCAAGTCTGGAGACGAACACCGCTAAAAACACCGCACTAGAAGCTTTGGCAAAGGGGTTGTCTACGAGTAAAACATCACGCAAGGTACGTGCACCACTTTACAACTTTTTTGTGATAATTTATTAGACTTTTAAACATATATTTTTACTACAGTTATTATTGAGAATAATTAATTGAGCAGAGACATACGGTAGTGTTTTGAATGTCATATAAGTGACGAGCGAGGATTATGGGAGTTGGATCGTCTAAGTAACATGAATTATTTATATGGCTTAAGTCGTTTACATGATGAGATTTGATTATGTGGTGGAGTCATCTAAGTAATGTGATCAAAAATTCTCTGTGATGTGGGTCGTCTGAAGGAAAATCATTAATGTGCTTTAGATTATTCCAGTGACGAATGATATCTATGAAGTGATAAAAGCTTGCAATACATGTGGCTTGTGTGGCGCAAGAATCTGTACAACTAAATATAGTCTGAGTGACGGTTGTTATTTACAAGGCGATTAATTTATGTGCATGGGGTATTCATTGTGAGGAATAATTTAATTATGTAAAAGTAAATATATGTGTTGTATATTTTGCCGATGTGGTATATACAGGTTATGCCAATGCGATGTAAGCGAATGTATATGAGGTGAAGTGTAATTTGTAAGTAAGTATTTAATATGTGGTTAAGGTTTTTCCTAAATAAATAAAGTTTCTTTTATCACTTGTTGTGCTCTTAAATATTAATTGCATATTTGCTTTTACTAATAGTCTTATTGACTTTTTAGGAAAAACCATAAAAACGTGAGGAGTCCACTGCCGAGTCTAGAAGGTTGATTGGAATGTTATCATGGGGTTCATTTTTATATGTCCTTTAAATTTAAATTGTATTATTTTGTGTTATATTCTTGAGATCAATATTACGATCTGTAAATAAGCAAGACTCATGGCAAGCCGTACCACTAAGGGGTTTGATTATTTTTTTTTTATATGTTTATTTTATATAAAGAAAGATGTATGAAAAAAAAATAGAAATTACAGATATTGTACCTCAGATTGGGGTGTTACAGTTATGAAACCTTTTGTATAAGGTGATCTCAAAAGTAATGGCTAACAAATTGAAAGGAATGTCGGACTCTATTGTTTCCCCAAATCAAGTTCTTTTTTTCTAAATAGACTTATCCAAGATAGTATTGTAAATACAAACGAAGTGTTCCATCACCTGAAAGTAAAGAAAAAAGACAAAGTCCTAAGATTGCTATTAAGATGGACATTAGTAAGGCTTACGATAGGGTTGAATGGGACTTCTTGGAAGCAACTATGATTAAGTTGGGCTTTGATCGTCGTTGGGTTCATCTTACTATTCAGTGTGTTAGCACGATCACCCTGCAATTTGTGTTGAATGGAGAAAAAATTGGTGTGGTTACGCCTCAAAGAGATATCAGGCAAGGAGACCCACTCTCCCTGTATTTATTTCTTTTGGTTGCTAATGTTCTATCAGCCATGCTCTATATTGGGGTTGAGGAAAGTAGATTGGTGGGGATTAAAATTAAAAGAAGAAGCCCAGTCATCTCACACATTTTCTTTACTGACGACTCTCTGTTCTTCCTTAAAGCTAAGGAGGGGAGAGTTAAGGAATTGCTGATGATTTTGCAGATATACTGTGTGGCGTTGGGACAGTGTGCTAATTATCAGAATTCTAGGATTATTTTCTCCAACAATACCTTTGCGGAGCAAAGGACCTTCTTCTGCCATCTCTTCGGCATGCAAACACTCCCTCACTGTGCAAAATACCTGGGATTCCTTACTGCCTAGGGAAGATCAAGGAATGAGGTGTTCGGGTATCTGCTTGAGAGGGTTGCGAAGAAACTGTAAGGATAAAAAAGTTGTTGCCCCTCACAAGCAGGGAATGAGATATTGATCAAGGCAGTAATTCAGGCCATCCCAAATTATGCCATGTCAGCAATGCAATTCCCAAGTAACTTCTGTGATAAGCTCAACTCCTATGTAAGAAGTTTTTGGTGGAAAGGATTCGTAGACAATAAGGGCATCTGCTGGAGGAAATGGGAGAAAATGACCGAATCAAAGTCTATTGGGGGATGAGTTTTAAAGACTTTAAGTTGTTTAATCAGACTCTCCTGACAAAATAGTGTTGGAGACTTATCCACCAACGCTCGGACCCCTTGTTTGTTTTTTTTAGTTTTATTACAATAGATAATATAAATGTATACTAATTACAATTTTTTTTTTAAAAAAATTGACTTTTTATTTTTGATTTTATTGCAATAAATGATAAAATAGATTATGAATTTTTATTTTAAAATTTAAAATATTTGATATTCTATATTTGATTGAAGTATTTTTGAACTTAGTATAACATTTTAAATTTAAAAAGTCTAAGTATTATATGTCAATAAACTTAAAAGGGTCTGAGTGTAATTTATTAACAAATATATTAAAAAGGTCAAAATATTATGCACGTACAAATTTTAGAGGTTATGCGTATAATATTTCAAAAGTAACGATTAAGTGACAAAGAAAGGTAATTTGAGTATAATTTTTCTTAAAAAAAATTTGAAATGTTCAAATGAAGTCCAAAACTTCTCAAAAATTGCAGTGGGAGGTGAGCGGTGCTTACCTACTTGCACAAACCAACTCCCTCGTTTTCTCCGTCATTGAAATGCCCCTTGCGACTTTGCCTCGTTTTGTATCTCAAAAAACCTCCCTCCTTTTTCTCTGGCCAAAAATTTCTCTCCCAGTTTTCTCTCATAAGAACCCTCATCTCAATCTCTCACTTTCAGTCTCCGCATCAGGTTCTCTCTCTCTATACACGCAACATATGTACGTATACGTATATGTTAATTTAGTTAGATATTGGAAGTAATTTGTGTTGCTTTGATCAGCAATGGAGTCCGAATCACTTTGTCTACTGGTTCTATGGGGAAAATCAGATGCTGAGAAAGAGTTGGCCAAATCTATGAAAAACAACAACACTCTAAAACTACCAGACAAAACCGATATTTCGGTTCTTCTACATTCCGAACACGAAAAATCCTTCGGCCCGAACCCTTTCCAAGTGAACTCTTACATGAATTCTCTCTCAACTACGCGTTTTGGAAAATTTCTCATTTATTCGCCTCGATTATCTTCCACTCACGACGTTGTTTCACTGTAAGCATATCTAAGTTGTGAAATAATAGTAATATATATATATATAAGTTTTTGTGGGATTTATTTATTTTAGTTTTTGGGTTGCAGAAATTTTTGTGAGCTGCCGATTGGTGCGGTGTGTGTGGCGGATGTTCAGTACAAAGGACGAGGTATGTGATTATGTGTAACGTATTGCGAATGTGTTTTTAGCACTCAAAATTTATATTTAACAAAACATAAAGGAATATTATTGCTTTATGGTTGTAATGCATGAGTATTTGCAGGGCGGTCAAGGAATATGTGGGAATCTCCGATTGGATGCCTCATGTTTTCATTTACAATACAGATGGAGGATGGCCGGGTTGTGCCTTTTGTGCAGTATGTAGTTAGTTTAGCTATGACAGAGGCAATCAAGGATGTTTGTGCCAAAAATGTAAGTTCATTTGATTGAGTTTGTAAATTTCTGTCATTCAAAGTGAATAAAGGAATGCTTCCACTGAGGCTTCAGTGAGCCAAGCAATGGTGTTGGAAGGAGTATACATGTGCGAAAAAATAGGGTAGGCTAGTGCAGAGTCTCCTGTTATTGCGTGATTTGAAAAGGGTCAGGTGGATGCAGCTGTACCCATGCGGGTAGGGGCTGTTTTTGTGATTGAAACCTAGTCGGATTGGGTATTTTTAATGCTGCGCCAAGGGCCGTCCTCAAAGAATATGCTAATGTAATCACAATTATATTTATACTGGAAGATGATTGATTTGACCTAATTGTAAGGATATGGGCTGATAATTTGAACCATGATTGAGGCTATTAAGAGATATGGTTGCTTATAATTAAATACAACATATGCCCTTCAGAGAACAGAATGACGATAAATGATTCATATAGCTTAGCCCAAAACAATTTAAACATGGCTTCCATGGATGGCATTCACTGTGAAAATTTTTTGACTTTTCATAAAGATCATCATGTCTCATGCTTCCCATTATCATTCTTATTTTTACACTATACAAAAAATCCGTTTCCCCTTAATCATGACTGAGGGTTTTTTTTGATGTTGACCTTTATTACAGACGCCATAAATTGTGGTAGTTTCAGGTATGTATAGATCTTAGATGGATGAAATGACTGAAGTGTCAATATCTGGTTCATTCTTTTTTATCATTTCGGGTTTAATTAGATTTTATAGTTGGGATGGTGTCATTAGCGCAGAGTAACTCCTGTCCAAAACAAACCGACTAAAGAATACAAATTTATGTTGATCTTAAATAATTGGAATGAAGGCTTGTGATTTAAGTTGAGTGTTTGCTAGAAATATGCAATAAATGTTTGTTTGGCAATAGGTATGTCCAATAAGCCGGTGCTCCATATGCATCACCCATGTCATTTATACCCCTCTGATCTTGTGTCCAACATGGATATGTCTGAAACTTCAAGTATCAGTGAACATAGACTTTTTCCAAGAAACCCAACTTAAGTTCAACGAACTTATTTAATACAAAGTATTTTTGTAGTTTGGAATTAATTTAGGCCCTATTGCTTTTAGAAATCTATAGTCACTTGGCTCTGGTAGATCATACAGGAATATATATATTTTTTCTTGAATTTTGTTATTATTCTACTTGATATCAAAGGTTGATGTTGATTGGTTATTTCAGGGCATGCCACATCTTGATGTTAGAATAAAGTGGCCAAATGATCTGTACTTAGATGGCCTTAAAGTGGGCGGTGTTTTGTGTACATCAACATATAAGTCAAAGAAGTTTAATGTCAGCGCTGGTAAATGGCCGCATTTTTTTGATGACGATATCCAAATCTCCTCTAACAATTCTTCCACATACTTTGATTACATTGACTAGAAGGGTTTTTTCGTTGATGCCTTATCTCGACTCATCTTGTAGAATTCTGGCTGGTGCCATTGAATTGGTGTCTACTCATGTCTGTCATTGTAGACGATGGATATAAATTTTAGATACCCCTTTGAGTTTCTCTATTTTTCCATGTTATGCAGGAATAGGCTTGAATATTGACAATGAGAAACCAACAACATGTTTGAATGCTGTTCTACGAAAACTTGCTTCTGTTCCTTACCAACTAGAGAGAGAAGATATTGTTGCATCCTTTTTCAATAAATTTGAGAATCTCTTTTATGATTTCCTAAATCAAGGTGAACCATCGTCTTGCATAAATTTTACTGCCTTTCTTTTCTGCACATTATATTGTTTTTACCGATTTGGAGTTACTAGTTTCCATCTGCATGTCATTGGGATATACAATTTGGTATTTTTTAAAATATGTTCATTGCAGTATAATTTCAGGGGAAGTCTACAGATTTAGAACTATGTTAACTATACAGTGTTTAGGTATATCAGAATGATTAGATTTGGTTAAAACAGAATCACACAGAAGTACTTCCCTGCCCCTTGAAACGTAGGAATGTTTATTATTAGAACACTGCTCAGTTTGAACCAATCATTCCTCTCTGAAAGCATGTGTAACACCCAACCCTCCTTGGGATGTGTCGGAAAATCTAGACCATCATAACTTGCGTTATTTCAAATGACTGCTACATGAATAACATTTTCATCCATAGCTTAATATTTAAGAGGGACCAATGTACATATATGTTACAATGTTCTACAAAATGGTCAAATCTAATCAAATACATGTTTAACCGAAGTAAACTTATATATTCAAAAACAAAAGCTTACAGCTCCAAAGGACCTTTCTCAGCTTACCCAGGTTGGCGGTACTCCAAAAGTGCCATGGAGAGGCTGCTACTACTATTCTGAAATGTTAAAGAGAATGGCTGAGTCGATGCTTAGTGAATGGATAATAATAACACAAGGGTAAAATGCATTTTAATAAAAATAATTTCTTGAGCAAAATTTGTACGGAATCGGCACTGCGTTTCTTAAAAGTCCTGGGCCAATAGGATAGATTTGTATCATTCATAAATTAGTTCATAGAAAACAATGAGGTTTATAAATTATAATCATTGATCCAAGCAATGTAACTTGTATCAGAACATATCGTAATATAGTCATACACGCACAAACGGATTCTGGTCATTAGTGTGCAAAGCAATGACATAGCATATCATGTGCGTGTGTAGCGTGTCACAAAGGCATAGACACATGTCATACTCGCCAAAGGCTATATGCATAACACTTGCGATCGCAAAGACATCATAATCCTGAATATATACATGGTAGGTATAATGCAAGGATTATTTTTAAAGAACAATTGAATTTCATAGAATCATCACAATAACCTTGAATGCATATGTTTCCCAGTGTTTAAAACATCGAGCATCATTCGATAAAAATCATATTCTCAAACAAGATTCTACTTTAACAAATTCTATTCCATCTAGTTTCAAGACTATCAAAACATTTATTTTTCATAATCCTCAGCATCTCATAAACATTAATATTTTGTCAAAATAAATGTGATATTATTATCTATTGATCTGACCAAAACATGTATATATTGCCTAGTCAGACCTCTATACTATCTCTCCCATATGATATTTGAGGTTAAGATGTATGTGTGAGATTCAAACTAATGACATGGGGATACTAGATGATATGCATGGAAGGCATGAACATGCATGAATCATGGAATATCTCAATTTTGACACCTTTAGGGTGATTTGATAATTCATTAAGAAGTTAAAATTGGACTTCTTTAATTTGAAATATCTAATTAAGTAGGATACAAATATGACCAGAATATTTGTTACATTTGTACTATAATTTGCCAACTTAATAATTATGTCTTTGGTAATTCTTTAACAATAACAAACACAAAAGTATATATCCTCTCATTATGATATATTTACTGTGTGAAGCTAACTAATTAAAGGAATTAGAACTAATATTTACTTTGTTGGTTTTCTTAGAAGGATTTGTTGCTAAGACTATAGAGTAATAAATTTATTTCATGCTCTTTTGACATGTAATAGTAGATAAGACTTAAAAAAACATCCATGTGTCTTCAAAGTTATTGCATTGTATGTGAATTCGGGAGGAGATTACAAAAGATAAAATTAAAAAATTATACATATTTCGCCAATTTTTAAGTATCCGCGAAATATCCGCAATTATCAGATACGTAAGGGGAGTATCCTGTATATATCCAATGAGTATCGTATCCGACATGGTTGCACTGACCTTGATTAAGTATCCATGTTCATAGCTTAGAACCCATCAGTTAAATATTTCTGCAACATATGAATGCAATTTATCATATTTTATTTTCGGAAATTAGAGTTGGCACAATGCTTAGGGTCACTCTTCACTAGTTAGTCATATGCATCTTGACACAATTGATTCAATTGAAACAAAGCATTTTCATGGACATCAACACTATATGTATAGGCAATTACATCCAAAAGACTCTCAAGTGTTCTTTTTCGAGCACTAGACAAATAAAATTGTCCTGGATACTTGATTTTTTTTAAATGGCGATAACAATGAGCATGGATATCACTAGAATATACGTGTCTAACAGCAGATATAATACTTTGATTCCTGTTAAAGATGATAACAATTTCTCTATCATCGTTCAATGCAAACCTTCAGATGCTCAAGAAACCAAAGTCAATTCTCAATTGATTCTGATTTTACAATCCCAAATGCCACTGGTTACATCCCATCTTTTGCATCCAAGATGGTGATTGTAAGCACATAATTGAGAAAAGGTCCTTTCAAAAAAGTTCCATTAATGAACAATAATAGTCGACATCCGGTACAAAATCTCTTGTAGACAAGAATAACATGCAATGAAAATCTGAAGAAATTGTTGTTCTTCATCACTTGTGTACAATGCAACAATGCCAAAATTTGAATTCTCTAAGAGCTCACACATCCATGGAACAAGTTTGTAGGAATCTTTCACTGCCCCATCATTTACTTCCTTTCCTCACCAATCTGGTCAATAACTAATATTCAGAGCATAATCGCACCAAAAATCTGCAATTAAGTTCTGTTGGCAAATATGTTGGGTTGCTCTTAATTTTCTCTTGAACAATTCTCCCAATAAACTTTGCTGAAACAGAAATTTTCATTGCCATCTGGTAGCAAAACTGGTGTTATGCTTTGGCTTCCATTGGAGGCCTTGGTGATAGTTTTTTGGCTATTAGAGTACCTAAAAATCTAACAGTTATGGCCTTCCTCTTTATTACACATTGCAAAAAAGTATAACTCTAAAATGCAACAATAAATTTCACTTACTTTGATCTTTTGGTTGGATGTCTTAGGATCACATTCTTCAAATGCATAGACATCTGCAATTTCCTCATTGAATGCAAGTGTTTTAGAGCATCTTGTCCATCCAAAGGCAGTAATTGAGTTTTATCAATTTGAATTCTATACTTGAGGCCTAAATTACTGTCCAAAACAGCAAGTACCTCACATATCCTGCCAACAAATTGATCGTACATCGTATTTTGATCAATAGGAAAAACCATAATGAAACCTTCTTCATATTTGATAGATTTATCATCATAAACTCTGGTCTCACCTTCAATATAACAATAGCAAAATACACTTTTCTTAGAATAAGACTCCATTTATAAAGCCCAACCTAGAATCGAAAAAACAAACTAACAAACAACCACATTAGCAATCAAAACGAACACACCAAATCACAAAGTAGGCTACCACACTCGGGAATCAAAAGGACAAAGAACCTTTTTGAATAGAACTCACAACAAAGTGTTCCACTAAATGGTCACCCATGGGACGTACAACAAAGGCCCTTTGTGAAAAGAACCCACAACCAAGGTGTTTCAATGAATGCTAACTATAGTCTACTAGACTTGCAATGACCTTATCTTACAATATTGTTTCTTATTCTTTAATTGTTGATTAATACCATTCTAAAGAAAGCATAAACGACATGGTGTTCCAATGACTTGTAATAAATATCTATTTAATATTTCAGCTAAGAAGTTGAATTTTCAACTTATTAAAGTACATCGGTCAAAATTGATTCAAATTTTATCTACTTCGATCCAACAGTACAAAATTCATCTTAAATTTTTTTCCATTCAAAACATCTTCTCTACGCGTCTCCCAATGACAGTCAATTCAACCAAAATATTTCCTAATACCATACAACCCTACTAATTCGCACCAGCCTCTTTCTTCTCTCTCCTACCTTTTTCTTATTTTGTCTTTTCTCTTTAATTTTAAATTACGTAATTAAGGAAAAGAAAAAAGAATAAATTGATATTTGAAATATAAATATTGCTCGATCAATACTTAATTTTTAGTATTGCAAGAGTAGTTTTAGGCACGGGGTTATATATATATATCAACTTAACAGATTCGATGCACAAATTTGATTATTTTAGGAACACGAAAATGACATTTATCCTTCAACCACGAAGGACAAATTAGCTTGCTTGAAAGAATTAGAGAATGAAAGAGCTTCCTAATATACTTCAGAATCATCATAGAAGTGGTCTATATGAGGAACAAGACCCCACCTCTTGAGTGTCCTTTTTTGTGTTATTTAATTAAAAGAGAACAATGGCACTTTTGTAATTAACACTAAAAAGGGTAAAAATGGAATATGCTAATAATTAGGACTTTTTTGGAACTAATTATGAAAGGTAGGACTTGATTGCTTGAATATAAATTTTATAGGACTGAATTTTTTTTGGGGAGAAAAAATTGGACGACTTAGTGTTTTTCACTTGTTTTTTCTTTCTTTCCTTTCTTCTATTCTTCCTTATTTCTTCTCACGCGTCACTCTCTTCAGACACATGAACATCACTTTCTCATTGTATACATCTCCTCTCTTGTTTTTTTTTTAATTTTTTTTGAACATTTGGTACACTTGTTACACATGCATTAATTATCATGGACACATTTCACTTACCCTTACATGCATGGTTGCACTTGGGAAAATTCTTTCTACAGTTTATAGCAATTGGATTTCCCTCCCTCCAATGTTCACATTCTTAATATGACACCAATTGTAAATTTTGAAATTTTCATCATTTATAGATTAACTTTCAAAATTTTAATAAATTATAATTCAACCAAAAGGAGAGGATTGAGTACTACTTATTCTTATTCATGTTATGATTCATGAAATGGGATGTCATGCAATGAAATGATTGGATAAACCCAATGCCCGAACAGAATTAGCAATTAAATGACAAAAGGACCCTCATCACTAGAACACAGGTGTTACAGAATTTCCCTTACTACAGCAGACTCTAGAGCTCTCTGAGTCTCTCTTATCTTCTTTTTCCGTTAGTCCTGACTGATGCTTCTGAGAAGCAAAAAAGTTTTTTTTTTCTTGCTCAAAACTCACCTTTTCCTTTCACAGTACTTGACAATTTCCCTGCCCAAGATTTTTTTTTTGTTTTGGGGGGGTTTGGAGAGCATCCATATGTTTGACCAACTTCATTGGTAGAAGAAGGCCTTAAAGCAGTTCTTGTGAGGTTTCTGGGACTTTCAAAATGACCCTTTCCATTGGATTGGCTTTGCCAGGCGATAAAAGGGTAGATGCCAACCCAATGATGAACAGAGAATTCTTTGTTAGATGCCCAAAGCATTGTTTCTGCAGTTTTTCCTGTAAGAAGTGTCTAAAATGTTGATCCAAGGGCACTTATGCTTATTTACTATTTGCATACCATACAAAGATTAATGTATTTTGCTCCTAAATGCAGGATTCGAACCACTTGTGGGGCTGTACTACAAGACATGGCTACATAGGTAAAAGCCAACAAGTAATCATTATGATTTTTACTGGTATTTTATGGTCCCATTGCTTGTTACATGGACTCTATGTAAGCATAGAGCACTAGTATTGAACTTATGACAACTGGTTATGGTACAGGATATATCTCCAACTTCTCTGATGGGACATGTGCCCCATGTTCAGTGATTCATGTTTAATGTGTAAATGTACACCAGATTTTCTTGTTATGATCATTTTGTTACATTTTTGTTTCAAATGGTCAAAGTGTCTATGCTGAACTCTTCCTGTTACACTGAACACCATTTTCTCAGGAAATTGGTGGAGAATTCGAAGACCATGATGCTTAGCCATGCCCTCATGTCTTTGGATTTGGGTTTTGGGAAATTGGACGTTGAGAATACCATGCCCAAGTCCATATAACATTGCACTTGTGCTTTAATTCCATCACTGTAGTAGGAGGATCCCCTTATTTGTTTGAAACAACTTTATTAGACAAGTTACATACCAAACAGATAAACAAAGATTTATCATTTTTTCTGTTGACAGTAAGTCAATTTTCAGGCCTCCATGTGGACACTCACAAAATTGGAAGGAATGATAGTAATAGTTCTTCTGTTATATTCAAGCTAAAGTTGACTATTCTGCTTTGCAACATGCATGCAGTGGGCAGAGAGTTATTGTACAGGAAAAGGATGAGAATCAGGATCACTTGGTAGAAAATGTAGTTACTATTCAGGTGAGTTTGACTCCCTTCATTGTCAAATGCAAATATGAATTTGCGGAACACTAGATTGTTTGCCTTGTTATTTACTTGTATGTCTTAGTAGTCAGGAATCCAATTTAAAATTTTAATTCCAAGGTTTTCTGGTCCATAAGTAATTTTATGTGTATCCATATTCCTAAGTAAAAAGGTAAATAATCAACTACTAGAAGTAGGATTAATTAACAAGAAGGATAAATGGGTAGAATGATATGATGCAAGAATTAGTCAATCAGTGGGCTGGAAGTTTCAATGATGTTACTTGTGAGTTTGTTTGGTGATCAAGTCTTTGTATGAAGTTCTTTCCCATTTATAAATATATAGTGACTGTCATGTTCTTCTGCTTGTGAGTTTTTGGGTATGCTAGGAACTTATACAAACGGAATATAAAAATGGTTTCCTTTTAATTCCAGGGATTGACATCTTCGGGATATTTATTAGCCATTGGCGAGGACGGTCATATGTGCGAGCTTCATCCAGATGGCAATAGGTATCATATCAAATATTTTCACTAGATATTTGTATATGATGTGTATGTAAGGATTATTATGTGATCCCAGTTTAATGGGCAAGCTTCATACCAGTAGCAGTAGCCATATATAATATGTGCATAACATTTTCCCACAAATCAATTAGGTGTTGAGGAGACATCATTCATGTTCTGGTATAGTTACTAGCTAGGGATGCAAAAGAGTGAATCTCAGCTGAGTTTTGGTCTACTAGAGCATGGATTAACAGATATTGAGCTTGAGCTTGGATCGAGCTTGGCAAAATGAGCTCAAACTCAGACTCATCTAACTTTTGCGAATCTTGGCTCGGAGCTCACCTTGATTGAATACCTACACGAGCTAAACTCAAGCTTGAGTTCAATCTCAAACTAGCAACATAAACCCATGCTTTTTTCTTATTTCTCTGGAAAAGGATGAAAACATTGATATAACAAGAGTATCATAGTAAAAATTAAGTTATCCAAGCAGTTAGATCCACATAAATTCGTGTTCATTAGGATTTAAGTTTATTAAGGGGTCCAACAAGTTTTACGTTAATTGTCGGTTACTTAACACAACCCTGTTTTTTTTACCCGGACTTAGAAAATAGGAAAAGGAAACCGAGAGAAACGAGAGAGAACAAAATAAATTCTAATCATGAAGGTGGTTGAAATTGACTATCAGGCCAATTTGAGAGTTCTCATTTATTCACCAAATTAATCGCCCTATTAAACTCTTAGTGCATTTTCAATTCTATATCAAGTGACACTTTATTTGAATGCTAGAAAATCTTGAACATACACCTTGGTTGCGAGAGTTGCCCCAACCAAAAGAAAGGACAATTAAACTAGATAACCTAGATAATCAGCTTATTTGAAATGTAGGAGAAGGCTTCTATTAATGCCTATTTGAAAAGAAATAGAGGGGAAAAGGAAAAAATAAAAGAAAAAAAAACGACTATACTTGAAGATGAAATGTAAAAAAATCTTCTCAATTTAGATGCCAAATAATTCGAAATTTTCCAACAATTGATAAACTTTGCCCTAAAACTAATGTTAAAGATAAATGGTAGTGGTTTTTCGCCTTCCATGTCGTTGTTGTTGTTGCCTTAATGTTTTACATCTTGTTTGGTTATCATGTTATAAAAGAAAGGATTGTATTAGGTAATACAAGCTAAATCCATATAAGCCGGTAAAATATAATATTAAATGTGGAACAAAAATTTCACTCATTGTAATTCAATGATTGGTCTGATACTAGATTAAGTGTGGGATAACATACTATTAATGGCATATTAACTAAAAAACCATCAATCTAGTCTACTTATCCATTTATATATACTAGATTCTGTACACGTGCGTGGCACGTGAATCATGTAAGTTACAATATGAGTTTTTTTATTTTTATTCTATTATTTTTGTAGATTATGAATAAGAAATTAATCAAGATTTGGTATCATAGTAAGTCTAAATGAAAGTCTTGTTCTAGTTATAAGAAGTCTATATAAATTAAAGGGAACTATAAAAACACATATTTGAGAAAATAGTTTATAAAAATGTATTCGACATTCTTGACTTTAAAATTGAATACTCTTGACGACCTTATATACTTTTCCATATAGATTGTGTTTTTTTGTGTTTTTAAGAAATTTACAAGCAACAATATAAAAGTGCTCCTTTAATATGGACTGGATTAGCTCTTGAAAAGCTAGCGGGGTGATACTCTTTTTCTTTATGGTTTAGGCATTCTAATGCTTCTTTGACATCGATATGTTTTTCAAGGGGTCGTCGAAACTTTCATCTCATAATGTGGCTAGCTTGAGGAGGCCCAACTAAGACTTGTGGGTCCTTCCGTCCATTAACCATTACCAGGATCTTTTAATTTTTTTTGAATACTAGAACTATAATTATCAATTTTCATATACACGAATATACAAAGAGGAAAGAGAGACATCCATCCTATGTAGTGACCTTGATTTGAGGTCCTAAAATGGTTGTGTTTGTTAGAGTTGTAGTTTGATAAATTGCAAGAGTGGTTCTGAGGAGATCAATGTCATGATACAGTCACAAATATATATATTTCCATGACATATTGCAAGTAAAATTACGAAAATAAAATTAAATTAAACAACACACAACATGAAGTGTTAAACACCAATCAAGCCTTGCACCATACAGTACAAAACTATAAACACATGACACCACTCACAAAGGAAAAATCCTATAGTGTTGAAGACATTTTCGGTACCATGTTAAAAAATAATTTGAATTTATAGATCTTGATCTAATATGCTTGCACACTACTTACAGTCGACGCTTGCAACATATGAGGAAACCACTGGTTTTTTAATATGGCACTACTTGTCAATTCTTAGTGTGTGTAAAGGTTCTTTGTTCACTCTTTCCTCGCAATAGTATTAGTGGTCTCTAAAGGCTCTTTGGTGCCGGATTACCTTGTTGTTGGAAGTGGTAAAAACCTTCTTGCACATATTCTTCAGATTTCGACTTATTAACTCTTTCTAGTGACAATCGAACTTCTTCTTCTCCTTCAATTTTTTTTGTTGAGGAGAACAGGCCACCCCAAAAAGAGAATAAACCTAAAGTTTTGGGCTAAAGTTTGTGCTCATTACTCAGTAGCGAGGACTAACAATTTTATATTTCCGTGAGACAGAGAGTTGAAGAATTTCAATTGTTTTAGAGACTTTTGGGGTTATAGTAATGTCAACGGAGAGTTGAAGAGTTTTAATTATTTTAACGACTGTTTGGAATCTTGGAATCATGTCGTGGCGGTTTAACTTCTAAGCTTCTAATAGCGATACTCTTACAAGTCAGATCCTACTGTTTTCTTGGATTTCCCAAACGAAGAGGAGACGTTGGGAGTGCATTTCAATGGTAGGGGGAAGCTAGCAATGTGGGTTATATCGAACCAACTTTCTTGACCATCAGATTGGCAGATTTACAAGGGGAGATTTTAGAAATTGATGCCCTTTGTCTTGTTTTTTCACTTTTCACATTGACTATAATTTAATCTGAATGATGGAAATTAAAATGTAAAAGGATAAGTCTTGTGGTTAAATATTTTGTAGATTATTACCATTCAAAAGTTTTTCTTAGTTGTTGACATTTAAAAATAGTATAAATAAAAACATAGGTTATTGGAAGAAAATTTGGATATTTAAATAATTATGTAATGGTGGTCATTTGGATAATTAAATGCAAAAGGACATATTAATTTTTGTAGTTTTTTAGAAGGGAAAAATAGTAAATCAAAAGTATTTCATATTAAGGTACTTATTAGTAGTATAGATGCGGTGGGCAAAATAGTAAATTTATAACCTAATACACATGAGGTATATTATAATACCACCTCTCCCGGTGGTATTAAAATTGACTCCATAGACCATAGCATGGGTAGAGCATATTATTCATATACACATTTTATACATGTACGAAGTAAGCCAATATTTTGTTGTCCTTTTCTTGCTGGAGTGTGCTAGCGCTTTAGTTTTCTCGCTTGTTCCTTTCATTGGGGATCAAGACTATAGGAGGGAAAAATAGTGCATTAGCCTATATTCCCAACATGGTTGGTTCAGCCCATCAATCCAATCCAATATCCTATCTTCCCTGACGATTTCCATCCAAAGCTTTTGAATATCTTCTCTTTAACACTTGGCTAGTATGATTGAAGGGGGATGCCCTACCCTTGCACTGGTTTCAACAATCTTGTATATAGCAGAAGAGGAAATATTCTATATAATATATACGGTGTGGTATAGAATATTTAAGTATATGGCAAGCTATAAGATAGTCATAAGGAAATGTATAAGCCAACCGAGCCTATTTGCTTGATTGGCTAGCGAAGAAAATTTGGTACACAAAATCTTTTTAATGAATGAGATATCGGTGATTAAATAAAGCAAAAAATACAACATTTATACGACTCTTATCCTTCTTGTGATCCTGTGGAAAGGGAGAAAGCTCCTCAACAAACTGCTGAATAATGAGGTTAGCTCATCCCCGGCTTCCTTTGTTATTCGTGCTTAGTCCCACTCTTCCTTTTTCGGCTTGTTTTGCTTTTGTCTTCAAATATGCTTATCATACTTCTATGCTACCGTACTTTGGATTCAGGATCGACAAAAAGAGTAGCAATGGTGCGCACTCATAGCTAACATCATTGGTTGGAAAAATCTCTCTCTCTATGCAATGATTCAGTCTAATCAATTTGTCCATTTATATTGTATATGGGGGAGAATGATAAAGAAAAGGGAAGGAAGAGAAGAATTTACAAAAAAGGGGATTTGTAGTTTCAGTCTTGCGACAATACTCCCCACGAAGTGTTTCACACGTTAGTTGGGCCCCTTATATGCGTAGACCAAGAAATGACGTGACATACTACGATCCCGTAAAAAGGTGCTGTTCTTCGGCTCAGCAATATGGAACCTCTCAAAGCTTCCATTCTTTTATAGGCCCAAGCCTCCCCCTCCCCTTCTCTCTCTGTCATAAAATATAAAAAGTGTTAGTTCAGTCAAGCTTTCCAATGAATAATAATAAAGGGAAGGAGTTTATGATTTCAATCCTTGTTTTTTCTATTCTTCTTGAGCAATATTCTTGTTTTTCATGGCTTGAAGAAAGTCCTTTTTCTTTCAGCTAGGAAGCGGATGAGGAATCAGACTCCTATTGCTGTTAAGGCTAGTACGAGTTGCTTATAGTCCCTTACTAGTCAAGGGCTTCAATCCATATGATTTCAATAAGCAATTTAAGTAAGAAAAGGAAAGAAACCAACTAGCCCTTGTGGTGGTACACCCAAAGCGAGATTAGAGTAGAAACAAAGGCGGAGTCAGGAATTTTGTTTAGAGTGGGTACTTTAATTACACAGTCTAATTTTTTTCTCCTCACCAACTACACTATATAATATATTTATATTTATTATATCATATTTGATACATGAAGTCCATTTAACATAAAAAAATGCCAAAAAATAATGTATATTGTATATGTATAAAAAATTACTAATTATCACAAGTTCAC